TTGACCAGAGAGGGACAGAGAGAGAAAGAGAGGGAGAGGGAAAGTGAGAAAGCCACCAGGTCTGGGACTTGAACTGCAGTTCACCATGTGGGAGTCCAGCACCCTTCACCACCACCCCACCTGCTGGCCCTGAGTAATAGTTTTTAAATGTACTGGATTGAAAACATTTTATGAAAAAAATTACATGGTTTCATATATATATATATATATGTATATAATATATGTATTGATTCTTTGTGGTTCATAAGTACAAGTAGATTTTCACCCCATTATGTGAGATGTGCCTCTTTCAAACCGTGTTACGACATTGGCACTCTACCCATCTGATGTGAAAAATAAAAATCATATACATAAATTTAAAAAGAAGTAATTTCTTTCGACCTTCCCCAAGGCAGCTGAATTATCCTGTAAATAGTGGGTCCGTGTTTAAGGATTTAAAGTTAGTGCTGAATTTCACCATTGTATACATGTACATTGGATATTCCTCAGTAAGATATTTTGCCTTTCGGAAAAGGATTGTAGCATTTTCCCCCCTTGAATCTGATTTGAGGCAATATAATCTTATCTTTCCTTGTTTTATTTTTCTTTAAAAGAATCCATCTCTTGCTCAAGTGAAAATTGAAGAGGCAAAGCGAGAATTAGTAAGTACTCCCTGTTTTTTTCTTTAGATATTTTTTAGAATAACAAAAAATGTTATACTAAAACATAAGATTTACAGAAGCTCTCTTTATGATCTAAATGATGTATAGTAATTGAATGTATAAATAATAATAAAATAATTAAAAATTAAAAAAAAAAAAGATTTACAGAAGTTTCCAGACAAGCCATACAAAATAGTCACAAGCTTCTTTCGAAGGGTTTTGCAGTTGACAGCAAAGTCACGATATTCATGAGGGCTGTGATGTTTGTTTAATGTTCCCATTTTGGTTCAAACAATCAAGCTTGTCCATCTATAGCGTCTAAATAAAGTTAGACTTGGCTAGAGAATATATTCTAAAGAACTGGTTAGCTGCTTTTAACCAGTGCGATTAGAGCACCATAGAAAGGGGGAAAGGAGCCCATAAAATTGAAATAAAACCACTTCCCCCCCTCAAAAAAATAAAATAAAAAAGAAAACACTCACACCCCTGCAGCTAACCCTGACAGCTACCTTCATTCACAGTGCTTTATACTTAAACTATGACTGGGGAAGTGAATAAAAGCAACCAGGGGGCACTGCTTTTAAACATTTCACAACACTCCAGATGATACTTATAGCATCTGCTCAGCCTTTACAACTGGGGATCAGGGCAAGACAGATTTGCTAATGTGCATTTAATCACCAAAGGACTGAAGATGCCTGGGCTTTTATTCTGTAATGTTTCTGAGATTGTGTCCATTAAATGTAAACAAAAAAAGAAATCTTGTCAGAACAGGAGCAGTGATGCACACTTGTTCAGATCAATTTAAATATTATTCATGGCATATAGTTTGGTCCATGCTGTAGCTGTTTCTATGGCTTAAGTTTCATTGGTCTTCCACGGCTCCGCTGCATCATTTGCTAATGGATCATCTGGATTGGGAGCAGAATTGTGGGGATTTGCAGTGCTGGGGCCCACTTATCTTTCAAAATACCTAAATATATTCTTCCCAATTTGTCTACATTAGGATGGTATTTTGGTCATAAAACGTACTTTAGGGGCTGCCATTGGGTATTCCTCTGGAAGCAAGAGTTCAAGTTTAAAAGTCCCTCCCTCAAAGGGGGGATCCTGAGAGAGATGAAAGTGAGAAAGCAAGCTGCCGGGTCCAGGACTTGAACTGTGGTCAGCCATGTGGGAGTGTCCAGCGTCTTAACCACCATGCCACCAGCTGGTCCCAACAAAAATAATTCTTAAAAAAAAAAAAAGGAAATAAAATGAATGTTGATATGGGTAGCCTCCCCCCCTTTATCCTTTTTTCCCCTTCCTTCTCAGCTATAGTTCCAAAGTTGCTGTGTATTATGCCTCTGAATATTTTCTTTTTGGGGGACATATTTGTATGTATATATATTTTTTCCATAGAAGATGCACAGTGGGGGCTTGACCTATGGCCTGGTGGTTCTGGGAGCTGGATCTTCCCTGACTGACCACAGTTCGAATCCCAGACATAATGACTTGGAAAACACATCACTTCTGTGTATGGCAGGGGGACATGCCCAGAATCCCTACAGGGTGGAGAAATGGAAGAAAAGTTGTGGTATAACCATACCCTATTGAGGAGTGCTTTCTATATATAGAAAGTGCATGTGCACTCTTAAAAATTAAAAAAAAAAAAGGAAAAAGATACATAGTAGTGTTTTATGTCTTTAAAAAAAAAGAAGTATTTAATTTTATTTATTATTATCATTATTATTATTATTATTTAATTTGCCATAGGGCACGCGTGCTCATGAGACAAAGTGAGAAAACAAGCCACCAGGTCAGGGACTCGAACCATGGGCGACCAGGTGGGAGTCCAACATCTTAACTACCACATCACCTGTTGGCCCTGTTTTATTTCTTTTAAAATTTCACACAGAGGGTCCAGCAGGTGATACAATGGATGAGACACTGGACTCCCACATAGCCTACTTTAGTTTGAGTCCTGGATCCAATGACTTAAGACTCAACACTGGGTACTTGTGCATACATGCCTGCTGGTGGGTGATTTTTTACCTCTCACTGTCTCTGTCCAGTGAGTGCATGTGCCCCATGGCAAACACCTTAAAAAAAAAAAAAAAAGATTTAATCTTTAGTGGAAAAGGAGGGGAGGGTTGAGAGATATACAATATTCTTTTTTTTATTATTTAAATACAGAGGTTTTTTTCTATAGGGCAGTATACTCTCACCAGAAAGAGAGAGAGAGACAGAGACAGAAAGCAAGAAATCACCCTCCCCCCAGGGGGGATGGCCACACTGCAATCCCTTCTCCTCCATTCTCCTCTGGGGATCTTGGGCATGCACACGCACATGCACAGCGTCAGTTTAAACCATCAGGTCCGGGACTCAACCGCGGTCGACTACATGGGAGTCCAGCGACATAGCCATTACGCCAACTGCTGGTCCCTAGAGATATAGAATATTCTAAGCAAAAATAATTTCCAAAGATATAAAAGCTAATAAATAGAAGACTTCCCTAGCTGGAGCAAGTGATAAAGGATTGCTTCGGAGTATTGAAAAAATCAATGAGTTTGATTTAAAGGCCTTAAATGTAAAGAGGGTGGAACTTGGAGGCTATAAGGAATCACTGAACGCTGCCATGTTTCTTTGCCTTTTCAAAAGGCTCAAGAAAATGTCATCAGGGACCAGCAGGTGGCCTGGTGGTTGAGGCACTGAATTCCCACATGGCCGACAGCAGTTCGAGTCCTAAACCTTGTAGCTTGAAACTCATGCCAGCACATGTGTATGCTTATCCCAAATCCCAGGAGTAGAGTGGAAGAGAAGAAATTGTGGCCATCCCCCCTTGGGGGTGATTTCTCACTTTCTCTTTCTGTCTCTCCAGCAAATGCTCATACCTTATGGTAAAAACCTTCATTTAAAAAAAGAAAGAAAGAAAGAAAGAAAAAAGAAAATGTGATCAAAGCTATGCAATCAGAAACATTAATCTGTAATCAGTGTGTAGGATGGATTGGAGGAAGGAGAAAGAAAATTTCAGAAACCAACTGCCCATTTAAACCAGAAGGAAAGTGAGAAAGCACCTCCTGTGGGGAATGGTCATACCAAAATCCCTTCTCTTCTGTTCCTCCCTCTTGTCTGGATTTGGGGCACATATGCCCTCGAGCCACTCGGTGTGGGACTTGAACTGTGTAGTCAGCCTTCTGGGATCTAGCCTCCTTAACAACCACACTGCAGGCTGCCCTGTTTTTTTGTTTTTTTTTTTTTTTTTTTTAATTTGTAAGAGGGTACTTGTGCTCACCAGAGAGAGACAGAGGAAGAGGGAGAAAGTACCTCCCCCAATTCCTGGGGGTTAGTCATGCTGCAGTCCCTTCTCATTTCTCCATCCTGCAGAGATTTTTTTTTTAAGTGAGAAATTTTTCCTATTGGGTGAGTGCACTCACTAGAGAGACAGAGATATCGAGACAACAAGTGAGAAATCACCCTCCAGAGTGGGTGGCCATGCCACAATCCCTTCTTCTCCAGTCTCTTCTCAGGATTTTGGGCACGCACAAACACGTACCTGGACTTTAGTTGTTGTTTTTTTTTTTTGGAGAGGTTTTTGCTATAGGGCACGTGCGCTCACCAGACAGAGAGAGACAGAGAGATAGAAAGCGAGAAATCGCCCCCCAGGGGGGATGGCCACGCTGCAATCCCTTCTCCATTCTCCTCTTGGGATCTTGGGCATGCACACACACGCGCCCGGCGTGAGTTTAAGCCAGCGGGTCCGGGACTCGAACCACGGTCGACTATGTGGGAGTCCAGTGACATAGCCATTACACTGAGACTCGAACCTCAGTTGACCTCGTGGGAGTCCAGCAACATAACCATTACGCCATCTTCTGGTCCTGACATTTTTGGGTGTGCACAGACATGTACCTGGCATGTTATTGATATCGGTGGGACTAAAATTTGAACCACAGTCAGCTCTGTGGGTTTCAGCTCTCTTAACCAGTAGGTTGTGGGGCTGATCCTCTTTAAATAATTATTTCCCTGCCCTTCAGATGTTCGTCAGAATGAATTAGGCATCTAAAAACTTTGGGAAGATGGAGTGGGGAGGAGAAAGAATAAAGGCAAGAATGTGTCTGCAAAGCATGTTTGATATTCATGCAGATATTTTTTAAAATTTCTGTTTTAGTGTTTTTCTTTTCTGTCTCTTTTATTTTAAATAACATTGGAAGTTGGAGCATCTGTTTTATATCCTTATGTATGGTATTGATGGTCTGTCTTTCTTCTTTTAGGATGCCCTTGAAGCTGAACTTACAAAGAAAGTAAACATGATGGAACTGTGACCAGAACCAAATAAACATGTCTTCCTAACAAAGTAAATTGAATAGGACTTTAAGGAATTGTTTTCCTTATGGCATTCCTTAAAAATATAAATAATTCCTGTGTTCTTAGATGAGCTAATAATGTCAAATTTTTTCCTTTTTTTTTTTAATTTAAAAATATTTTGGGGAGGGCTGGCAGATATTAACAATGACAAAATTAAATAATTATTTTGTTTTGTTCTGCTTTAAATAATTATTTTATTTTATTTATTCATTCAATTTATTATTATTATTATTATTTATTTATTTATTTATTTATTTTTTGGAGAGGA